TTTAACTCTATAAGGATATAATACCCTTAAAAAAAAACCCAGAGGAACTCTTTCCAGCTTTGAATTACATCAGTGATATGCTTATGGTGTTTGGATAAGCCCCTGTGATACATATGTTATATATAGTATACACTTCTGCCCTCTCAAACCAGGACCCAAAACTATTTTTTAAATAAAAAACCCATAGCTATGAAAGTAAAGGTGTTCATTCAGATTTCCTAGTTCCTTTTTCTTTCTCTAGAGAAGGAGAGGTTTTGTTGCATCAAAAATTATAATCAACTTATAATCAACAAGCATTTATTAAATGTCCCTTACATCCTAGATCATAGGGTTAAAGACTCCCCCCACAAAAAAAAACCCTACCAAAATCATTCCCTGCCTTTAAAGAGCTTACATTCTAATGGGAGAGACAAAATATCCATATAGCGTAAATATATATGAAATTTTAAAAAACCTAGACCTGCAATTTCATCAGTATAGGTAAATACTGGTGAGGTACTTTCTTCATCAGTGCAGATTAGCACTTTCTCTGTGATTTAGAGTCACAGAGATTTGCTTGAGTCATCGAGAAGTGACTTATTCAGGGTCAGATGACCAGTACATGTCAGAGATGGAACTTGAACCCAGGTGTTCTTTACTCTGAGGCCTGCTCTCTATCCACTACACCATGTTGCTTTTCAGATAAAATGTGTATGAAATTAAAAAGAGTCAAATTTTGGAGAAAGGGCATCAGTAGCCAGGGAGAACAAGAAAGGCTTTATATAGGAATCAGTCTTTGAGCTGTGCCTTGAAAGAAATCAGAGATTCTAAGAGGTAGAGTGAGGAGGGAGTATTATCCAGAGATGGGTGACAGCCAGTGCAAATGTAAAGAGAGAGATAGAGTGTATTGTGTGAAGAATAATTCTTACTGTTCTTAAGTCTTTAAAGGCCAGCTTTGGATAGATCAGAGAGTGCATGAGGGGAAGTAATGTTTAATAAGGCTAGAAAGAAAGGTATGTTGGGACCAGGGTATGAAAGGCTTTAAATGGCCAACACAGGAATTTACATTTCATCCTAGATATAAAAGAAGTTTTATTAAGCAAGGGAATGACACAGTCAAACTGGCACTTAAGGAGAATCCCTTTAACAGTTGTGTGGGTATGGGTTAGAGAGGCAAAGAGATCAAATCGAAATTGCTGCAAAAATCCAGGTGAGAGATTGGGGACCTGAACTGGAATGACAGCCATATGAGTAAAGAGAAGGAAGAGACAAGAAGAGATGGTGTGGAGGTGGAACTGGCAAGACTTGCCAACTGATGGGATATGTGGAGTGAGTGAGAAGTTGAGGATTATACCAAGGCTTGATATAACAATTAATGAAAATCAGTTTCCCAAAGAGACCAAAAAAATTCAATGACTTAATGATCTCAGCTTTTTTTTTCTTGCTTAATAAGGTCGTCAAGGAAATACTTCATACTCTTAAATTCTTGGAATAAAAAAGACATTTAGTAATATTTTATTTATTCATTTAAAAGTAGAATGATTTTTCTCCCTAACCGATCAAATTTTCATGATCAGGTTTTAAAATTCTAAGAACACAATTAATAGAAGCTGTAATAAGTGATTCCAAAATGTAGACAGTATGGACACAAATCTGGAATGGCAACAGCAAGTTTAAAGCACGTGACACGAAGGTGTAAAATAAGCATGTGTTTAAGTCATAGGGTACAAGATTGCCAAAGAGCTTAATTTTATATACTAAAAAAACCTTTACGCAGTGATAACCACTATTACTGATATACATCCCACTACAAAAGCACATCAACTATATCATTCCTAACCATACAAGGGAGGTAGGAGAGGAAGAGTAGAGATGGAAGGTTTAAAGGTATGATTCTACATGTCAAACAAAGGGCAAAATTTCAAATACATTTGAATGATTCGTCCCTTTAATGGAAGTAGTCTCTTGGGGTACGACTATTGCCAGTATCACAAACACAGCATAAGGCCTAAAATACTAATTCTTTGTTGTGGCTATCAGGCATCCTCCTTCCCTATGTAGTTAAGGTCAAAAGTTATTCTTGGGGGAAAAATATTTAAGACTTAACTACTTTGTCAACTCTTCTCCTTCAGGTCATAAGGAGCATGAGGAGAAGGGAACAGGAAAACTATGATAGGATGAGATTTTAGGAGTCATAGGAAGCAGTGGGGCTTCCTAGAAAAGTTTCTCCCCTCTAGAAGTTGGCAATGGTTGCACAAGAGCCTATGGGAGTTATTTATCATTCAACTAACCAGCAGGGGAGAAACAATGAAGTGATAATCTAGATTTCCCATTGGTCCTAGGAGTACAAGAAGAACCTAGTTTGATTACAGAGGCCTCGGTTTCTATCATCTATAAAGTGAGGACAACACTTATACTACCTACCTCATGGAACTGTTGTGGGGGAAGCACAATAATATGTTTAAAAAGCTAAGTAAATATGAACTATTCTCATTCATCTTTGTATCCCCCATGGCACATGATAAATATCTGTCAAATGAATAAATGTTAGAAGTCAAGCAATCAAGGCACAAATGCAGAGATAGATTGCTATCATTGCAGCAAACATATTCTTGGGACCACCATCCTAGGGAGGTACAATGTTGACACTGGCTAGACTGCCTGAACGGTAACTTAACTGTGCATAGCAACAGTAGTCTGGTAACAAATCAGGAACGAGGAGGAAGGAATGTCGACCGGTGGGAACATTACTTTCTGTACTTCTGTCAAGGTCAAGATGTAAAGCCCCATCATATTAACACAGTTTCTTGTTATACAAGCTTAAATATGCTACTGGTCAAATCACACATCCCCAACAAAACAATAACAATACCACATATGGCACTGCCAATTAGGTTTTTAGTTCTAATCCTCAATACCAGAATTGAGATGGGGTTGTTTCTACTGTCTAAGTGCAATCTTTTATATATTAAGTTAACTCTTGGGGAAGTGAACTCAAATATGACTTGAAGATGAAGCTGCAAGATGTCACTCAAGAGAATTTGATTAAATCTGGATTTCAAACTGTGTAAGTAATCATTAGTAACCAGGCAACACCCCACGTGTTTGCACCATTAGTTGTTTGGTTCACCATTCTTCGCCCAGTGGTAGATTCCAATAGCAAGAACACAAAACCATGTCGATCTAACCTTTATATGAAGAATTTAATTATCTACACGTAAAGTTAATTGTAAAGCCTGTATTACAATTGTTAAAGCTGCAGATTTTATATAGTTATATATTTTACATTCATATCCATTAAAATACTGAAGTGCTGGTTAACGAGTGGGAGCATCCCACTCATTATCTGCACCACAAATGGAAAAGGAATCCTTTAACACTGTCAGCATAGAATTTCAGAAGAAAAGGAGACATAAAAACATAAGATAATGAAATATTAAAAGTCATTAGTAGAACTGATATTTTTTTTTCTTTTCTTTTCTGTGCTGACAGCACCAGGCATTTTAATAAGAGCTTTAGACTAACATTTAAAAGACAAACATGCTTTGGCTACAGTACATCTACTACATAAAGTTGACTGTAAGCTCCATTTAATATTAATCTATATAAATTCCACAGTCTAGTTAAAAAATGTAAACACTGGAAATTAATTGCAGGGATATTGCTATACATTCTTTCTTGTCAAGATAATCACTTGTTCAAAAGATGTCATTCCATTGTCATAGAAAAGTAATTGTAATAAAACTTCATGTAACAGAGACTAAAAAGAGATTGGGGGTGTTAACGATAATAGCTACCTGGATGTAGGTTACTGATTTGTGATAAGAAAATGTACAACACCTTCCTCCCACCCCAGGGAACAAAAGAAACCCCAATGAGATAAATCTGAGACAAAACAAAACCAGAGATGCTTCCTTATGGAGGTACAGGATAACTGTGCAAAATAAAATTAATGTAGTCTGATTACAGCATCATACAAGGGTACTATCTTTGCCATGAAAGGAAACTGATTTCCTCTGTACAGGACGTAGAACGTGCTTAACAAGGTATACCTGGTAACATACAAAAACTAGCACAAAATTCCTCATTTCTGTTTAACTGGTCACATGCTTAATTTCCTTAAAACTTGATCTAACACCTGTACCTTTGCAATAGAAAATAAAACAAAACAAAAGACATTTTGATCAGTAACACTGGACAAGATGAAAAAAAAAAGTCTCAAATTTATGGATATTTGGAACATTTTTAATAGCACATGCAGCATTCCTTGATAGTGGGTCTTTTTGCAAAACCAAAATAGTAAAGAAGTAGTTTAATTTATATTTTTTTCTATTAAAAGGCTAAAATATACATTTAAAAATAATTTGAAAACTACTGAAAACACCCGTGCAAAGGTGGGGAAAAAAATCAGTTCCAGTAACTACGAAAGCCACAAAAGGACCCACTATCCTGTGTATTTTTGTAATTTTTGCTTCTATATCTGTAAATAATAACTCAAACATTGCGATCACATGCAACTAATGTAAAATGAGGTAAACTGCTCTGCAGTGTGTTCTTCTACTCAGAAGGCAGTAGATGATCATGCTGGAAGTCACATGATCAAGGCTGCATCTCCCATCATCCCTCTGGGCAGTGATATGGGATAGTGGGTCTCTTTGAGGACTTTCAAGCCTGAGTGGGGGATGGACAACATATGATTCCTAGAAAAAGGAGGAAAACAACACATAAGCAAAACAAAACAATGAGCAAAATTCAAGCTAGGAAAATGAATCAGGCATGTAAACAGCATGGTGCCGAAATGATTAAAAAAAAGGTAACATGCTATAAAGGGGATGGAACTAAGAAAAAAAAAAACAACCCACAAAATAAGGTTTTGCATAATGGAAGGTCTTCAAAGAGACTTTTGCAAATACAGCAATGATTCTAGCTTTGAGTTCTGCAAATTATAGCAGAATCATAGCAATGCTGCATGTTTTACTGTTAAGATATCACAGAGCAATGGAGCCAATAAAATTACTTACATTGCTGGCTTGGGTCCATGTCTGTTGTCATTTTCACATAATTGGATGGGAAGAGTCCCACTTGTCCATTGACTTCTCCTTTCCACCAATCAGGGTCTTCCTTATTAAGAACATTGATGATCTGGCCTTTGTTGAATGCCAGTTCATCATCATTCTGTGCAGTATAATCGTACATACCAATCACTTGGCACACTGTAAGATAAATGAATAGGCTTAGGGGGCAATACTGATCATGGATCAATGAATTAAGAGTTGGAAGAAAACCCAAATATCCATCCACCACAACCTCTTCTTTTTAAAGATAAGGAAATTAAGGCTCCGAGAGGTTATGGGATTTGTCCCAAGAGCTGGTTGGAATTCTAATCCCGGTCTTCTGCCTATAATTCCTTAATATGATGTGCCAGGACCTGGACTAAGTCCTGGGAATACAAAGAGAGGCAAGAAACAGTTCCTGCTCTCAAGGAGGTCACAATGAAATGAGGGAGACCACATGCAGACAACTATGACAAACAAGATAAATTCAAGCTACAAAAATGAATCAGGCACGTAAACAGCTTGATACTGAAATGATTTTTTTTTTAAACAGTGAAGGTAGCATGCTACAAAGGAGAACAGAATTTAAAAAAGAACTCCATAAAAATAAAGTTTTACATTATGAAAGGTCTTCAAAGAGACTTTTGCAAATGCAATAATGGTTCTAGCTTTGAGCTCTACAAACACCATCTTAGTACTGGAGTTTCAGGCTGAGATCACTAAGTCATCTTATCCTAGAGAGAAGATATCCTGAAGAGAACTCTTAAGACTGCCACACTGAAAGAGCTGAATGGTGAGATTATGATTCTAGTGTCTGTGATTCCAAAGCTGTGAAGTCAGCAGTTGCGATGGGTGGTAAGAGACGACTCTGGCTATAACCTTTCTCACAGCAGATAGATCCATTGCTCTGAAAGATCCAAAGGTCTTTGTATTGTTTGTTATACTGCTTATAAATTACATACCCGGTGACACTTAGGTTTGTCTAAGCCTGTGAGACTAAAGATTGATAGTAAAAGAAAATATATGGCAAGAGAAGTTTCTCCAGTTTTATAAACCAAGGTAGGGGCTCAGAGAGAACCGGATAATGAGAGATATTGTAAAACATACCCCTTGACTTCCTTAGAACTGGAGCAGTCAAGTAGTAAGTCAATGGTAAATAGAGAGTTGACATGACTATTGACCAGTGTAGTGAACCACATAGACCACTTAGGTTTCCCATACAAACATACACACATTTACATACACACATACATACATACACACACACACACACACACACACACACACACACACACACACACACCCCTACTGTCCTTCTCAACAGAATATAAGGTTCTTGAGCAGAGATTATTTCATTTTCTGTATTTGTATCCCTAATTCATAAGAGAGTACCCAGCATATAGCCAGCACGTAATAACTGCTTGTTGACTGACTGATTTTTATACTTCTCTCTGAATTATCATAGCATTTTATTCATAATTTTTATACTTATCATACTCTATTTTGTAACAGAGCTATTTGTATCTTTTCTTATCACACTTTATTAGAGTGTAAGCTCCATAAGAGCAGGGATTGAACTTATTCATCTTTGTATCTTTTGTCTGCTCTCAATTATTGATATAGGGCTACTTTTATCAGAAGATTCATTATTCCAGTCTCCATAGTTATGAGGTTGCTTTCAGTACTGATCCAGAACCGTCATTTCATTGGCAGTAGGACCTCCAGGTGAGGAAACTTTCTCAACCAATGTGGATCAATGTATATCTATATTATTTTTAAATTTTCTGAGAGATTAAGCATCACAAAGCCATCATGTGATATAGGTGGGTCTTTAACCCATACTTCTCCAGATACTGAAACCAGCTTCTTATCCATTACTCCATGCTCCAATCCTGCAAGACTGTGTAGGGATGCAAAGGTCATTATGACATGAAAATATCCACTAAGGAACTGTCTGCTTCATTCCCACTAAAACATCCTTCCCCCTAAACTGCTATCTATCCCTGCTTATAACCTTTGCTGATAAATCTTAAGAGTGCTTCAAAAAGTGAATGATTTGAATATCAAAGGACTAAGAGAGGAAAACTGATAAAACTTGCAAATATTATTACAATGATATCTCCTCTATGATCATGGTGCAGAAGTCAAACATGAAAAAAAGGACTATGAATTTTAATATCATACAACGTTTTTAGAAAAATCACACCAAACAAAAATCAACTTGAGCAATACTTAGTTCTAGGAATTAGCACATAGTTGCAATTATAACCTCAATTGTTTATTAATAAGATAAAATGGATTTATTATTATAGATTTTAGTTGGAATTTTTGAGATAATGTCCAAATCAAACCATTTCCCCAGTTTACTATGAGATGTTGATTCCCATCTTAAGTGGATTCATTTTGGTGCCCTTTTCCTGGTACCAATTAGTTTTAGAAAATAAGGACTTCCTATATTTATACCTTAGGTGAACTTTCACAATTATATTTTAGTTTTATATTAGCCATTCCAAGTCAAGCTATATGTGATTTGGATTTTCTTCAGATCTACATTACCATGATTAGGTATTACTCTTTTACTAATTACTAATTACCATTACTCTTTGACTTGACAACTCTAGGGAATCTCAAGTTTGTCCACAGTGGTATGCTAAGGCTTTAGATCCCTCTAAACAAAGAAAAAGTGCTTAGTCACTCTACCTCTCACAGTTTCAGGTCCAGTGTAATTAGGGTTTAAACAAGGAAGCACTGTCAAATTTGGTTGGTCAACAACTTTCATTTAATTTAATTGAACAAACATTTATTAAGTGTCAAGGCACTTGCTAAGCTGATGAAATACCAAGGCTAAAATGAAACATTCTCTACCTTCAAGTAGGTACAACAGGGAGACATAACATGCTCACAGAGGAGTAAGTCAATTTGAGAAAGAAGAAAACATTAACAACTGAAAAATTGTTAAGTAGGTGGTAGCTAGAGTTGACCTCATTCTTCAAGAAAGATATGATTCCGAGATGCAGCAATGAGGAGGCAGGGCACTGCAGGCATTGAGGGTGACTGGTGGAAATGCAAAGAAGGAAGAGACAGAACGTTAAATACAGGGAAAAGCTAGTAGTCCAATTTGATTGCAACACAGAGTTTGTGAAGGGGAGACAAAGTTGGAAAGTAGCCAGATTGTGAAGGTCTTTAAATGACAGGATAAATTTGTATTTTATTTAAGAGGAAATGGGAAACCACAGAGGGTTTTTTAGCAAGGAGCTGACAAAATTTAGATTTGCATTGTATAACATAGGTGAATGGAGGCTAGATTAGGGAGAGGAGAGAATGGGAGCAAGAAGAGCTATTATATTAGTCCAGGTAAGAGGTGCTGAGGGCCTGAAATACTGGTGGTCAACTTAGTGGAGAAAAGGAGAAAAATGCAAAGGAATGTGGTAGAGGTAATAATCAATTAGACTTGTCAACTGATTTAATTTGGAAGTGAGGGATAGGGAAGAGTCAAGAATGATTCAGAGGTTACAAAGCTTAATTGAGAAGATAGGGATGTCCCTGAAATACGTAAATCTGGAAGAGGGGAAGGTTTAGGGGGAAAGAAGGTGAGTCTTCATTTTAGATGTCTGAAGATCATGCAAGTCACCATACACTAACTGCCCTGTTGACCATATAACTAATAGGATGATGATGGTATTACTCCTCCCCACAACAGCAGGGAAGAGCTGGATAAAAATGAGAATGTAGAGAGAATTAGAAGCAGAAAAAGACTTTCACCTCTGCAAAGGACAACTCTGAATCACAGGAATAAGGGATGCAGAGGCAGGAATTTGCTAGCCCTATAAGTTAGAAGAACAAATTAACTTGGGCTCCCATCCTCCAGAACTCTGTGGTGACTGAGTTTAACAGTGTGAAAGAGAGAGGAAGAATATTAACTGCCATGGCTTCTCACTTTAAACATCAGGGAAGCAAGGATGGAATCAGCAGGGAATTCTGGACATACTTTGGTGAGTAAACACCTAGCAAGTGGGTTCCCAGAGCCAGATGGTGACTGTGCGACCCTGGGCAAACCACACAACTCTAACAAAAATATTACAGAGTAGGTACAAATGAACATTGGTAAAGGGAGGTTTCTTCACCCAGAGTTTCCTTCTATGCCAATGAAAATGAAATCAAAGATCTGACAAAAAGCTTTTTTGATAAACAGTTACTGGAATAGGGAAACTTGAACCAACACATCTACACTGACCACAAATGACACCCAAGAATTATGATCTAAAGGAGATTTCTGCTCTTCTATTCCCATCTTTCTTCAAATACTATGAATATATTCAGCTAAATGCTTTTCTGATTGAAGGCACTTAATAGCTCAGCTCTAAGACTATAGATTGTTCCTTTGTAGCTGTTTAGGAGGGCACAACATTACATGCTATGCATTAAAACAACTCATCTATTCAAAGTGCCACAGATCATTTTGGTATCCAATGTACTCTACGTGATTGAAGCCAATATTCACCTTTATAAATAGTACCCCACATAATTACTTCCCAACTTAATCTCTTAACCCACTTAAATCCTTGACAGACATAGATGTATGTGTGTGCTTGTATATACACTATACATACATATATAAAACCACCAAACCCCTCAAAATTACCAAAAAACACTATTAAAATAAAAATTTACATAAAATCATAAGCTTTTAACAGGATAGAACCAAAGGAATCAACAAACAACAAAGTAAAATGTTTTTGTTGTGTCTGCTATGAATTTTCTTATATCTACATTATTTTTAAATTTTCTAATATTTTATAAAGTCTTAGCAAAAGAACCACCAGGTATAAAGGTATGATTACTTTTATGACACCGTATATTGCCATACTGCTCTCCAAAATGCCTATATTGATACACAGTCACTCCAACAATGTATATGTTTCCTGGAAGCCACGCCAATCTCTCAATCTCTCTCAATCTCTCTCTCTCTCTGTCTCTCTCTCTCTCTCTCTCTCTCTCTCTCTGTCTGTCTGTCTCTCTCTCTCTCTCTCTCTCTCTCTCTCTCTCTCTCTCTCCCTCTCTCACTCACTCGCTATTTTTGTCATTTTAATGGGTTAAAAGTTTTATCTTTAGGCTGTCTTAATGTCTTTAGGCTGACTTCTCTGATTATCATGGAATGTTTCTTTTCATAGGACTATTAACAGTTTATATTTCCTTCTTCAAAAATTGTCTATTCATACCCTTTCACCATTGCTGCCCTATAATGTATCATATATCATGTAGTAGTTCCTTATAATATCTGTACATCAAACAATTATCTGATATATTTATCTGATTTTTTTCTGCAAATACCTTTCCCAGTCCATTTCTTTTTTCATTGCTTTTGTTATGCAAAATTCTTTTCTCTTTATATATTCAAACCCATCAATAATTTTTCCAATAATTTTTCTATTTGTTTCATTAAAATGACCCTTCTCTTAAAGTTAGAGTAAATGTTTTATTCCATTTCTTCAATTTTTAAATAACTTTAAAATTTTAGATTATCGATACAGTTTATTGTGGGACATTGTGGGATATATGGATCTAAACCCATTTTTTTGGCCACATAGTATTCGTTCCTGAACAGTAGTTTCATTCTCTACTGGTTTTTAAGTGTGAGCTTATCAAACATTAATTTTCTGTATACATTGTGCTCTAATTCTGTTACACCGACCTATTTTTCTAATCTTTTTCTACTACCAGACAATTATTATTTGATTCTTACTTCACAGTGGATTTTGAGACTTGGTGGTGCTCATTCCTATTCACTAGATGAACCAGAACCTAACAAAACAGAACCTTTAGAGCACTGTACTGACTAAATCTTTAACCAGTTTTCTTTTTCAAAGTTATATTTGATATTTCATCTCATATTTCCTTATAGTTTTCATATTTATTTGTCTTTTGTTGGATATTTTTGCTAATTCTAGGATTTTTTTTTCTCACAGTTTCCTAGGAAAATTGTTCAAAGAATCATTAAAAAAGAGTGTAGTCCAACCCATTCATTTTATAGATAAGGAACCAGAAGAATGATGTACACAGTAACAGCCACATTGTGCGATGACTAACTTTGATAGACTTAGCCCTTCTCAACAATGCAAGGATCTAAGACATCTCCAAAAGTCTCATGATGGAAAATGCTATCCACATCCAAAGAAAAGAACTATGGAGTTTGAATGAAGATTGAAGCATACCGTTTGCTATTTTTTTTTCTTCTGTTGTGTATTATTTCTTCTTTCTGGTGGTTCCTCCTATTGGTTCTAATTCCTACTTACATCATCACTAATGTGTACATGTATAGCCTATATCAGATTGTCCGCCATCTTGGGGAGGGAATGGGAAAAAAATTTAAAACTCAAAAGCTTATGGAAGTGATTGTTGATAAATCAAAATAAATTAATAACAAAAAAAATTATCTCATTGGATCTTCACAACAATCCTGTGAGGTAGCTGCTGCTATCATGCTCATTTTAAAGTTAAGGAAACTGAGGCAACTAGAAACTAAGTGACTTGCTCAGGATCCTACAGCTAGGAATTACCTGAGGCTACATTTGAACTCAGGCCTTCCTGATTTCAGGCCTAGTACTCTATCCATTGCACCAAGAGCTGCCTCACAGAATTAAAATGACCTGTCCAAGGCAATACGATGGACTTTAACTCAGGTCTTTTGATTCTAAATTCAATGTATTGCTTTACTAAATTTTCTGAGATGTCAGAAATCCTGAGACTGCTGCATTGGGGTCTGTCTTCTTCAGCTAGTAAAGGGCATCCACAGTCTATGTACTTTCTAATAATTCTGATAATTTGGTCATTTTTAACACATATTTCCAACCAGTCATGTAATACTATTTCCCAATATAGTAAACTGCTAACAGTTGCTTCATTAGATTTTTAGAAATTCCTCTTTCATGTTCTCTTCACTGTATTCTCTGTATAAGAGGAAGCATGGCACAGAGTTTGCCTTGAAGCCAGGAAATCCTGAATTCAAGTACCAGTTCTGACATATATAATGGTTGTATGACAATGGATAAGTCCCCTGACTCTCAGTGGGATCCAATTCAAACAGAAACAGATGGGCCTCATAGTGACTTAGAAAACCACAAGTTAACATGATCTGTGTTTTATTGTATTTTTATTTGTTTTGTTAAATATTTCCCAATTATATTTTATCTGGTTCTGGCTCCATTTGGAAGTTTTGTGGGCTGCTTGGAAGCCGAGTTTGAAATCTCTGCTCTAGGCAACTAAGGCAACTATATTTTTTTTTTGTTATTTCCATGAAGTGTGTGGTTTTTCTTTTAAGCATTTTCTAATTCTAGCTTGATTTCCTCCCTTGATTTTTTTCCTTCAAGTTCTTCTTTTATTTAGTCTTGTGACAAATTTTTCTTTCCAGTGTCAATTCTTTGAATGTGTGGTCTATATTTGAGAGTCTCTCAGCCTATCCCACACGGTTTCTTTATATTTATTTTTCTTTCCGTAACTTCTGCTACTTTAGCAAATTAAATCACTCTGAGTATTTATATTTTTACTATTAATATATTATAATTTTGTTATTATTATCATTTTTCATTTTTATAGCAAATTCAATTGCTCTAATATTTATTACTCGTATTACTATTATCATTAATTAACATCTCATCTTTTTTAATGGAATTTAGAGAGAAACAGTCCTAGGACAAGTCTCTTTCCTGCTATTATTCTTTTATATTGAATGTGTTCGTCAGTAAGTATTTATTAAGTACCTACTATGTGTGAGGTACTTTATATCCTACAGAGAAGATAGAAAAAAAAAAGACAAAAAGATAGTCCTGCTCTCAAGGAGCTCACATTATAATGGGGGGAGGAGAACAACATGCAAACAACTATGTACAAACAAGATACACGGAATCAACAGAAGGAAAATCCTAGTATTAAGGCATTCCACAGACTACTGCACAAGTAGACAAAATAAGTGCTTTCTGTAGTCAAATAAAAATATTATGATATAAGCTTATCCTCTGTAGGCTCATAGAAACCATCCTCAGAACGACTCCAATAGCAAATAAGACAACAGCAATGGCATATAACTCATCCTGTTGCACATGATTTGGATCTCTTCTGCAAGGTCTCTACATATTGAAAAATTTTCATTACATGCAGCTTGGAGGTTATGAGCATTTGGCATCAAGACATCAATTTAAAATGCTACTCTTAAGTTTTTAAGTATCAATGTTATATCCAGATGAGTGTGAGCAAGAGTTTGGCTTGTGATGATGGTGGTTCCAATATAATTTACTGGTTGAGTTCTCTAGGATATACTAAAGTCTGCATTCATAGTATGGGGATTTATCAACCTACTCTATCATTTAAAAAATATTTGTTTTAATTTTGTTTTCTTGTGTGGATTTTTAGTTATATTTTTTCTTTGTTGTTTCTCTTGCTGGTTTTTATGGGGTGTACAAAGTAAAAAACCTGATTCCCTTCTCTCCTTTCATGCTGTTATCTTAGATCATCCTCTCCTAACATTTATTAATTTAAAAACTCTTACATCTTGCTCCTTACTCCACCTCCCCCCATGCTTTCCAATTCTTTATTCTTTATTCCACAATTCAATTCTTTAGAAGAGAATCAATAAATAACACTGCTTTTAGTGTAAAAAATATGATTCTTTCCAGAAGAATATTCCAACAAAAGCACTATGGTACTTCAATCATTTTTCAGTCATGCCCAACTCTTTGTGACCCCATTTGGGTTTTTCTTGGCAAAGATACGGGCGTGGTTTGCCATTTCCTTCTCCAGCTCATCGTACAGATGAGAAAACGGAGGCAAACAAGGTTAAGCAACTTTCCCAGGGTCACACAGCTAGTAAGTGTCTAAGGTCAGAATTGAACTCAGGAACACAAATCTGCCTGACTCTGGGCTCGGCACTCTATCCCCTGCACCACCTTGCTGCCTATGTACTATGGTACTCTACACAGTAAAACTTCTCAGTTCCAAGAGCTATTGAAAATGCTGAGAGAAAGCTTCGATACAAAAGAGAAAGCCTTGTCTATGAAGACTCTAACAGGAACAATCAAGTTTGAGATAAAACTATTTTTTGATTGAAGAGTCTAAGTTACTTACCTGTAGGTAGTGCTAATGACTTAGGTGGCTCCGTTGGTGTTATTTTACTGGTACCAGGACTTAAAAGTTTTACATAATTAGCTGGGAACCAGCCTATCTGACGCTTTTTCCCACGTGCCTAAGAAGAAAATAAATATATTTTAAAAGTTTCAGATGTTGAATAACCACTAAACTTGCACAAGAAGACAATAATTACAGAATCCTAGTGTTGGAAGAGACCTCAAAAGCTTGAGTCTCATCTACAACACGACTGATAGATATTCACCCTCCCCCTGAAGACTTCCAGGAATGAAGAACTCACTCCTCCACTCAGGAGTCTAATTCATTTCTGGATAGCTCTTATTATTAGGAATTCTTTCCTTTATGTTGAACCAAAAAAAAAAAAAAGAATGAACCTAATTCCGCTTCCATATATCAGTCCTTTAAGTATCTGAAGACAATGATCACATGTGTTCTTAAGATTTCTTTTCTCTAGGTTAAACACTTCCAGGTATCTCCACCAACCTTTGTATGGAATAATTTTACATCTTCTCACGATCTTATTCACCTTCCAGTTTTGTTCATTTTTTTCCTAAAATGTGGTGTTCAGAAACGGACACAATGCCCTACATGTGGTTTGGCCAGGGCAGAGATCAAAAGGACTAACTTTTCTCTTGCTCTGGACATTACGTTTCTTTAAAAAAAAAAAAATTAGGAGCAGCTAGGTGGTGTAGTGGGTGGAGCACTGGCCCTGGAGTCAGGAGGACCTGAGTTCAAATCAGACCTCAGACACATAACACTTACTAGCTGTGTGACCCTAGGCAAGTCACTTAACCCCACTGCCTGGCCAAAAAAGAAAAGAAAAAAATTTTTATATCTTTTGATTTTATATCACCTTCTTTTCCAAATATATTCTTCCTTCCTCTGCCACTGAGAGCTATCCTATGTAACAAAGAATAAGAAAGAAGCCAGTGGCTGTGGAAGAGGAGCAGGGAGGGAAAGTTGAGTAAAGTTAAGCAACATATTAGCTGAGTTAGGATTACACATAATTTTCCATGCCCATAGACCATCTCTGAACAAAGAGAGAAAGAAGCATTTTCTCACCCCTTCTTCAACACTAAGCTTCATTATGATAATTACAAAGTATTCAAGTTTTGGGCTTTGTTGTTGTTTTCATTTACATATAGTCATTGTGTATATTGTTTTCCTGGTCTGGCTTACTTCATTTCATATACGTTCATAGAAGATTTCTCATGCTTCTTTATATTCATCATTTCTTATAGTACAGTTTATGCCATTATATAATCTGTTTAATCATTACCAAATTTATAAGCATCTCATTTGTTTCCAGTTCTTTGCTATTGCAAAAAGTGCTGAAAAAATATTCTGGTATATATGGGACCTTTTTTTGTCACTGAGTTCCCTGGGATACAAGCTAGTAGTAGGATTTCTGAATCAAAGGATATTGACATTTTAGTCTCTTTCTGAACATAATTTCTAGAATGGTTGAACCACTTCACAGTTTTACCAACAATCCATCAGTGTGCCTGCTTTCCCACTGATTATCCAACATTGGCTAGTAACATATATTATCACTTTTGCTAATCTTGGGGGTCTAAGTTGGAACCTCAAAGTTGTTCTGATATGGACTCTTATTTTTAGCTATTTGGAGCAATCTTTCATTGATTAAATTACAAAGTAGCTAATCTAGATATGATTTTAATCCATTACATGAATAATTTCCATTTTGAATTCAGAAATTTATTGGGGTGGCTGAAAATAAGAAGTAAAAGCCTTTTCTCAGATTAGTGTAGTATATTGTTTTTGTCTTTCTTTATATCTCTAGTACTTAGCACAGTACGTGGTACATAATAAACACTTTAATTACGTTTGCTTGTTAACTGAATATTTCTGCTGGAAAGAACACTGAACCTCATGTCAAGAAGACCTTCGTTTAAAATATTGTCTAGCCTCTTACCAGCTTTATAACCTTGGGAAAACACTTAACATCTAAGTCTCAGTTTCCGCTATGTAAAATGAAGATAATAGCTACCTTATCAGATTGTTATAAGGAAAATGCTTTGTAAACCTTCAAATGTGTTCTAAGTATACACTGCTATTATTATTATCATTTTGTTCCCTTAGTTATTTGTTTCAGATAATCAAGTGATTCACTGGCTAATCACTTGGGATCCATCCCATGAGAACAAGTGCAAAATTATAAGAATCCCTGAAAGATATTTATGGACAGAGAGATTTGCTATATGTACACATCATGCTTAGAATATTTTTTTAATGGGCTTATGATGTTATTGATATCAAGAATTCCCGAGGAGGAAATCCCCTCAAACAAAGCAGACTAGCAATTTCTCTGGAACATACAAGCTTAGCTGCCTGGAGCGCCGAGATGATAAGTGACTTGCCCAGGACACACAAGCAGTACATGCCCAAGGCTTTGTTCACTATCCAGTGTACCATGTTGCCTCTGCTTAGAGAATATGAAGACTACTTTTAAACTGCCTCAGACAGCTCTCTAAGACTGTATATTCCAAAGAAATTGCTCGTCTGCTTTGGTCACAGGCCCATTAAAAAAATAGTAAGTATGACATGTTTGTTTTACACATTACAAATCTCTCTGTACATAAGCATTTCTCAGGAATTCTTGCAATTTGCACTTGTACTCATAGGATGGATCCCAAGATCAAAGGTAGCTGCTAACTCAGTTTCTAGGGGAAAGTATACAGAACTATATTCTTAGATAAACACTATACTCACGAGCCCCCACTAGTGTTCTTTACTTTAATAGTCAGCCATTATACAATTGCCTCTTGGGAAAGGCATTTATGAAGAGGATATAGTAAGAGCACTATTTATGAAGTAGTAAGAAAACTATAAAACATACCCCCCATAAACCTGGGATAAACTCTCCCACAAATATGCACAGCATCTATGGGAAGAATGGGCTCAAATTTAGGGTACAATGACAGTGAAATGTGTAAAGCATATGTGGGATAAAGGCAAATCACAATCTCTGGTACCTGGTTTTAGAAGTTCTTTCATTCTTCATAGGGTTTTTTATTTTTTAAATTTTTAGGCAACTGGGGTTAAGTGACTTGCCCAAGGTCACACAGCTAGTAAGTGTTATGTGCCTGAGGCTGGATTTGAACTCAAGTCCTCCTGAATCCAGGGCTGGTACTCTATCCACTGTGCCACCTAGCTGCACCGAGTCATACTTTTTTGAAACTGCTTCTTCACTCTAGTGACTAGTGCTCTGTATATCTGACAGTCTGGAACATATGTGTCTTCTGCTCCTCACTGAATGCAGTATCTCCTTCTAGCCTAGTAGCTCCTCTTCAAAGCAATTTGGTCAATGGGAGAGGGGAGAAGAGAAATTTTCTTCCTCCTGTAAGGGTCTTCTCCACAAGCAGCACCTGGTTTGCAAATGTCTTGGTATTCTCCAACTCAAAATACTGAACTTCATCCAGGGCTCTCCTAGTTAAAGCCCCTGGAGGTATGGCCAGTTCATCTGATCTATCATAGACTGTTCTCCTCTTGAACAATCAGAAAGGCATTTTCACTTTACTCATGCGTATTAAAACATTGGCTTAGATGTATTTTTATAGTTAAACAACTCATTAATACCTTCTAATTATATACTGGATTTCTCAGGTCTACATTAACTGGGGTTATGAGGGGAACCCCATGCCTTGCATAAAAGCACTATATTCTGTTAGTACATTTGGACATGCCTATTGAAATCCTCTAAGTTGAATTTAAAATTCTTTAGGCCTAAATATTTCCATTGATTACACTCATATTTTCCCAATGTCATCGCCACTTTCTTGAAATTCGATTCAATTCCACAAGTATTTATTGAGCACCTAGTATGTGCCTAGCACTCTACTAGGCATTGTGGTCAATGAAAAGAGGTAAATGACATGGTACCTACCTACCCACCCGGAGTTGTCAATGTAGCAAGAAAATCCACACAGTGGTAAGCTGTCTTTAGCTCTCCTTCATATTAGGCAACATACTGGTTCCCCTTAGCAGTATGGGTAAGAGGGAGAAAGACCCTGCCCCTTCCCTACCTCTCTCCATTCAATATGGCTATGATGCCTAAATGAGTCAAGGTGTATGTGTTGGGGGAGGGGAGGGAGATCATTTGTTATAAAATGGGATAGTTTTTTCTCGGGCAAATACTATGGTCCCCAATGAGTCACATGAACTCATGGTAGAGGTTTGTATGTAGCAGCCAGATACTACTCATTCCAAACTGATTTATTCATTGGCAGGTCTTTCAAGAGGAAGTTTTATTATCTTTGGAAGTAGAAATGAGATACAGCCTTGGGCCTAGCTGGAGGTTACATGACCAGAAGCAATATAATCTAGTTTGAGCAGAAGAAATAGGCAGGTGTTGCACAGTTCAGGTCTGCTAGAGCCTTTTACTCACTGTTTGGCAATAAGAGCAGATGCCTCCTGGTGTTGTACAGATCACCCTTCTGATAGTTCAGGAAAGTGGCCTTCCCTTTCTGTGGCCCTTAAGGTAAGTTAAATTGCAGAAGCCTGGCTTTGAAGACTCTGTGTGTGTGTGTGTGTGTGTGTGTGTGTGTGTGTGTGTGTGTGAGAGAGAGAGAGAGAGAGAGAGACAGAGACAGAGAGAGAGACAGAGAGACAGAGAGAGACAGAGACAGAGAGAGACAGAGAGAGACAGAGTCACACAGATGACAGAGACAGAGAGACATAGAGAGAGACAGAGAGACAGAGAGACAGAAGAGAGATTTCTGGGTAATACAGGGAATAAAGAATAGCCAGCATAAGAAGCATAATAATACACAGTAATTAGAATAATTGGCTTCAGCAATAAAACTGAAAAATGCTGAGTTTTTAATCTAGAACTGCTTGCGTTATAGACTGAATTTTGTGATTTGTTTTATAGAAATATGAATGCAAATTGGCCAGTGCTTGGATTTTTTTGATAACTTATACAGCAAAGGTTGTATATATCCCACTTCATGGGTGTGGATGGTTGGAACATCCCACTTACTGATTTAATAATTTTGATTTAAGTTTTCCTATCTACTTTTAGATTAGTGTATTCCATAATGCATTTTTTTAAAGTGATGGAGAAAATGTTAATAATTCAGATTATACTTAGAAGTGTGTCTAGCCAGGTGCTAAACACTGGCACACCCCTGAGGACAGAAGAAATGTAATCCTAACAACTCTAAAATTTTTAAATTTTGAATAACTCTAAAAAATCCCATAATTGTCTTTCTTTTTTTCCCCTCTCCATTCTTGTCTTCTTTATTAACAGAATTTTCTTATATCCCTTTAGGCTAGAGAAAGAGTAGCCTCTATTTAGGTGTATCATCCTAGTCCCATTAGGATTACTCAACCCTCAACCACAAAGCCCAATTCTTTGTACCACTAGGATCAGCTACCAAAAGAATAACTGGGATGATGGACCACTTTTGGCTTAGACTACAGGGCCACAATGACTGAACTATCCCAGTTGCCTCCTGAATGCTCTCAACAGAAAATGCAGCTTTGTACATCCTTAAGATAAGGAATTTTTCAGCATTTTTTACAAGTTAAACCACTCCTAATTATCCCAGCTGTAGGTACCATCCCTTCCCCCCAAATAATATTTTACCTTGCACATATTTTATAAATGCTTACACACACACACACACACACACACACACACACACACACACACACACACACGTCGTCTCCCTGTTAGGGGAGCAAAGTGTTCATTTTCATCTTTGTCCCCCTAATACCTAGCAGATTCCCTGGCACACACACGTTAAAGAAATCTTTGTTGACTGAAGGAGGCAGGTGTAAGATACCAAAGGAAGAAAACATCAGTAGATTATTGGCTTGTGGGTTGATTCAAAAGGCTTAAGTCCTGTACTTATTCCATAAGCCACTGGTGTGAATAGCACATTCCCTTCATCCTAGGCTGCCAATAACATCCCTTTCAACCCTCCTCCAGTCTCAAGAACTCCCAGAGATAAGGTTCATGTTAAGTTTTGTTTTTTAACTTATTTCTGTTTCCCAGATATCAGCTTCCCCTAGCTCCTGCCTCCCCCTCAGAGACAAAGCAAGCAGATAACACCCATGACCAGGATCTACTTTCTCCAGGGATATTTCACAAGGCCACACTCAATATCACAATGTGAGACACTGATAAAGTCCTCAGTCAGGGTCATGAGTTTACTATGAGTACTTTTCCATACAACCTTCCTTTGGAGTATTAAAATTTCTCCCTATGAGAGAGGTTTTGAATCACTCAAAGCTCCATTTTACTTTCCCAGTGACATATACTGATGGGCCCTACCAGGTCTCCAGTAATCAGGAATCACAGGTCTGGGGTGATCCAGGAATGTTCAGGGTGATGGTTCAGTAGCTGCAGCGACAACATTCACTCCAGGAAGGAATGCTGGTTGACACCCATTCTGTATTCCCTACTTCGCTCTGTAACCATTAAATCTCTCTCATCAAAGTAATTTCCTACATTGTGTGACTAGAATACGAACACTAATCAAACAAGTTTGGCAAGATAACACACTGGTCTTCCTCTTAATACTTTATGCTATATTTGCACCCCTTTCACTCCTTCATACTTTACTTTGTAAGAAAGTTGTTTTTATACAAGTTTTATTTTATCATTCTAGGCTTGATGTTCCATAAGGGCAGGGACCTCATTGTATTCATCTTTTATATTCTGATAGCACTCAACATGGTGCCTCATATGTAGTAGGTACTGGATAAATGTGTTGAATTGAATTTGTCTTTGTGTTTGGTAAGTGACACCTTGAAAAAAGAGATGGAAATTGTGTGTGTGTGTTTTAAAGCAAAACAGGAAACAGGAGGAGCATGAGAGAAAAAAGTAGTAGTAGTAGTAGTAATAATCATAATGATAGCTAACATTTCTATGTGCTTCAAGGATTATACGATATTTCCTATATATTATTTAATTTTTTCATATTTCATTTGTTTCACTTTTCATATTACATTTATTTCATTTTCATTATTTCAATTCAAAGTTGTGCTATGAAGAACTGCTGTCCCTATTTTACAGAAAAAGAAACTGAGGTTAAAGTGACTCATCCAACCTTGCACAGCTAAAAAGTGGTAGAGCTAAGGCTATTTAATCCAACGCGTTTGGATTCCAAATAGAGGAATCGTTCACTTCACCACAAAAAGGAGGAAGGAAATGCATAGAAGTGTGCCTCCAAAGACAAATTTTGCTGACTTCACATTTCTGCCTGGGTCAGTGCTGAATCTTTCTGGATTAGGAGGAAAGAAGCATACAAGCTGCTCGGACTACAGGGTAATTTGACTCTGAAATGTATGGAAAGGTGGCTTCCCATTTTGGAGGTCAAAAGTTCCATCTTTAAAATGTATGGGCATTTGAAGGAGAACATACACCTGGTAGTGTTCTCTTTTCGACATTTTATGTGTTAGAATTAGAACATGATGTTGTACACAAATTATATAGGAACTAACTTGAAGTTCTCCTTCCCACCATCCTCCTGGATTCTTCTTTCGGATCAAAATTAGTTGTCCAGGTGCCAGGGTAAGTTGTTCTGGGCCAGTAGCAGTATAAGATGCGATAACTTGGGCAATTTCTGAAAATCAAAACAAAAATGAGTGACTCACTACAGTAAATCTAGCACCACCTTTGCCTTGTCCATAGCTAGCATCAAAAATTAATTTATTAGGTTGGTTTAGCACCAAAGCAATTAGAAAAGTTGCTTGGTCTTTACCCCCTCATGTGCTAGTTACACAGGGAAATTCACCTCACTTCCTAGGGTCCTGTCATAGTACTAGGATTCTATGATTTTATACAACTCAGATAAAAGACATAAGGTTTTTCATTCTTTTATAGTCTAAGAAGAAAGAGAAATTATATTTTTCCTTACAAACTGGCTCAATTTCTTTTTTTTCTTTTTTATTAAGCTTTATTGACATGTATTATTTTTATTTTCCAGACAGTTACAGGTTACCCTCACTCTGTGAGAGTTTTGTAACAAAGTAAAACAATTAAACAAAACTAATAATACTATGGCCTCATCTAAAAGGGCAACATTTCACAGCCATTCCTCCCAGTTATTTTTTAAATTTTTTTGAATAATTAACAGAAATCTACTCTATCTCCTTCCCACTCTTTTTTTTCTTTTCACAAGATTCGTTTCCTCTTTTCCATAGAGCACATTTATCTTTTTCTAAAGTTTATTTATTTTTAGTTTTCAACATTTGCTTTTGTAAGATTTTGAGTTCTAAATTCCGCCTCCCTCCACTCCACCTCCCCAAGACAGCACACAATCTGATATAGGCTATACATGTATGATCATATTAAATATATTTTCACATTAGTCATATTATGAAAGAAGAATCAGAAAAAAAGGGAAAAACCATGAGAAAGAAAAAACAAAAAACAACAAAAAAGAGCATAAAGTATGCTTCGATCTGCATTCAAACTCCATAGTTCTTTCTCTAGATGTGGATAGCATTTCCCATCATGAGTCTTTTACAATTGTCTTAGATCATTGCATTGCTCAGAAGAGCTAAAAACCAACTGAATTTCTAAAAGCTGATTTTAAAATCTAAATTTTCAGTATCCTTTGCTACTACCATTATGATCTTTTTCTTTAAAGAAAACATTTTTCCACTAATCAATTTGTAGTCTGTGAAGGTATAAACGGTCTTCTGACTTCAGGGGCCTCCGGTGGGAAGAATCCACAAGTTAGAAAAGGCATTTTATGAGCAGTTATCAATTTAGCACACATCTATAAAAGGGAAATAGTGCTATACTTCTCCTGAATGTCAAAATCTCAAAGGAAAAATTCCAAGAGTATTTCAGAACAGTTCTGAAAATCAATCTCTATTGGCATTGCAGTTTCAAAGAATGAAACAACAAAATTTTCCTTTCAGTGAACACTGACACATCTATAATCATTCTCGGAGCCTCCAGAAGCGATACACAACAAACTTGTCTATTCCCCTATGCCATTTGGACTGAATTCTACCAGAAAAATGCCCTGGCCCGTGGTAGAATTTCCTTCTTCTCTACTCACACCAAGAAGGATTATCATACCTTCCATCATTTCCCATTTTACATTTACAGGTTAAACTGCCCTCGTGGAAATGCTCATGCCATTGTAAAACTGAATAAAAGCATAGATGATTCTGCTTGGTGCTTAGAGACTAAGCAATAATGGGTTTCAAAGCTCTCACCAGGAAAACCGGTGAAAACCTCTAGATTAGAAGAGCTGTTTAGGATGGACAAAATCCAAAGTGGTGACCTATTTGGCTTCCAATGTTCTCTTCTTAAATGAAACTGGCACATGCAGGAAGCAATCTGCCACCAACTTTGCTTCTTTCTTTGTTTTCTCAAGATGCAGACAAGCTACACCCAGCTCACTAAACCAAGGAGGGTTTCAGTGAAAGCTTAAACTCATGTGGGCATCAAATAAAAGGCACTCAGACACTCTAGAATCATTCAATTATTCTCAGCAGGGCTGAACACTGAGATAAAGCTTATTTGCTCTCAATGCCCTGAGCCAAATTTCTGGAGCTCAAGTGAAAACCCATGGTGACTGATTATCTATTTTTCCTTGCTGTGTAAGATCTGTACACCTCAGAGAAAATACTCTCTCTCCCAGCAACAAATAATCTTTCTTCCAATAGTCATTCAATGGAACATCAAAATATGTCAGGTGAAATAAATGTGTGTTGTAAAAATCCCTTTGTATACAGTGGTGTCACTTGTTCTCTCTCAAGAATTATCTGTAATATTTTTACTTTCAAAAGTATGATTCACAGGAACTAAAAACTATGTAAAGGAAGAGAAATTGCTGTAATTTTGTACCTTCAATGGATGTGAGAGAAATCACCTGATGCCTCTGAAATGAACCTGCTCTTGCTTACAACCCAGCCTTATGACAGTTATGCTCTGCTATTCTCTTCTGTCGTGTGTATTAACTGTTGGATGAGTGTAATCATGGCTGCAACATTCTCCCAAGAAATGCATATGCTTGTGAAACTGCCAAGCACCAGCAATCTGGTAGCCCCATAACACCCTTTTCATCACTCTGAAGTCATCTATTTTCTTACTATCACAGGAGAGCTAAATTAATCCATATTCTTTTATACTTAACTACCATTTTACATTTTTCCTTTTCATGAGGTGCTTATGCCACCTTATACCAACCTTTCCCAACTACATAAGCAATTCTTATATATCCCTAGAAAACAGAGATGGATAAGGAGATGTTTCAGGAAAAGTCTCCTTTGTTCTTGTTTCAAGCATTTGGCCTTAATTAACATAACTGGGATCAATTATCATTTACATTTAAAATATTTCAAAATAAATACTAGGATTTACAACTTACCAGGTTTCTTTCCTAAACTCCCTGCTTTCCCAGTAGTCCCAGGGGCCTAAAACAGAAGGAAAGATAAATTTTACATAAACTGTCATACAGGTATCATCTTTACCCCAATATTTTTTTCACAGGGGGGTGGGAGAAGGTAGTCAGGAGAAACTAAACCAATGATTTCATTGGCATAGGGAGGAAACTCTCTCTACCAATGTGAAAGAAAATAAAACCCTAAAGAACCGTTAGCTTTTGATAGATTTTTAACACATTGTTCCAGAGAAGACACAGCATAAGTTCTGTGACTCCATGAAGTTATGCTGAGATTCAAGTTATTAAATATATGGTGAGAGAAGAAATCTTGGCCCTAGAGACTGACCTGTGGATGTATTATCTTTGAGAATATTATTATTTTATAATAGTTTCAGGAGGGGGGAACCTGCAGCCTCGAGGCCACGTGTGGTCCTCAAATGCGGTCCTGTTCAGTCGAAGGGCCACACTTGAGGACCTTGAAGGCCACATGTGGTCTCAAGGCTTCAGATTCCCCACCCTTCTGAATCTAAACACTGTATTTTTATGCAAGTTATTATATGAGGAAGAAAGACAAAATCTATTCCCATATAGTGGAAAAAAGATTGTGTCCAACTTCTTTTCTATTCTGTAGATAGCTAGAGAGACAACAGCTAGTGCTCACTAATAGAAATTAGTTTCTTTTGCATTACTGTCCCTCTTGAAGCCACACCTCAAAATCAATTTAGCATGAAAAAAATGAAGTGTAATTCAGAAGTCCTCTGATAACCCAATTAAGATAAAAAGGTGGGAAAGGAAAAGAAATGAAGTACGTATCTTTTCAGCAAGCGTTGAAACTTCCGTACTGTGCTTTCAGTGTTTTGTGTCCATTATTTCGAATGACTAAATTTTATTATTTCATCAAACATTCATGAAGTGCCTTGGGTCTAAAACTTTACTGTCTTGTTTAATATTTTGTTAACAAACAATTTATAGGCACATCAAAAGCCTTGATTTTATAAATAACAATGTACTTAAGCACTGAGAAGTTAGCTCCGAGAACAACTAGAATAGAATAAAGGTTTCTAACCAAGGCAGAATCCATTAAGTATCTTGTAGACTAGCTATGTTTTCACCAAGCAAGCAGCACATTCAATAAAAATACCAATGGACAATCGCTATACAAGCAAGATTAAGAAGTGATCTCTAGAGGAAAGAGGATGAAGAACTTTGATGAATACCACAAGTGAGTAGAGAGTACCAGGTTATTCAGGGGAATGTGATGCAGATAAAGTGCTTTAAATGCCAGTTGTTACATGTCCTGATAGCACCTAAAGAATGTCTTGGAGATGTTGCAATAGACTATATGCTACTCACTGCCTTTACTTCAACCTGGAGAAAGAGCAAGGTCACAAGGCAAAACTCTGTACCAATTTTGACCTTGCAGGTGTAGTTTTGCTTTATAAACTTGCAAAAAAGTTTTAATTTTGCCACTACATACCAATAACCTTAAGAATACAGTTTCTAGTGTCTTTTCATTGAAACAACATTTATATAATTCTTGTTGAATCTAACTCCTCTGCTTGAGGAACAGTTGAATTCTCCCCTGTCATTTCTGGAAGGTACAATAAAAATTTTCAGTTCCAAATTCCAAATTCCCTCCCTCCCTCTAGCCCTTCCCCCACCCAATGAAAAGGCAAGAAATATGATACCCATTATACCTGTAAAGTCATGCAAAACGTATTTCCATATTAGTCATGTTATAACAATAATAATCATTACTATTATTATAATAAATCAAGACAAATAAAGTGAAAAAAAAAGCTTCAATCTGTACTGAGTTCTCTGGAGGTGGATAGCAATTGTCATGAATCCTTTGGAATTGTGTGGGGGGGTAACCTAGCAGATAGTAGGTGCTTTAATGTTTATTTGTTTGATTATCATTATAATATTGCTGTCAAATAGTTCCTACACTTAAATGTCAGAGGGGAGCTGAGCTGTCACAGTAATGTACAAAGAAAAAAATTTTAAAAGAAGTGCTACAGAGGAATAGATACAGAAACACATTTAGAGCCTTTCCGTGACTTGTTTTCAAACTCACTATGGGCTCAGGGAAAATCAAGATATTCTTTTCAACCCTTGTAGTGTCACAGATGGCTTCAGCTTTCCAAATCTGTCTAAAGAAAGGCCTCTTCCTGCCCATTGGTTGAGGAAGCAGGAGGCAAGAGGGCAAGGTTAAACAACTGTAATGGAATATATGATGGAAATGATGGCCAGTGAAAAAGGAAACTCCTGAGTATTCTGTTTATCTGCAATGGATTACCTTAATAAACAAATTCATAATTCCTGAAAACTTGTTTCTATTCAAAAAACAAAAGAAAAAACCAAAAATTGAACAGCATTTAAGCCAATTTAGCAGATTATTAAGGAGGATGCATGGGTCTGGTCAAATGTATATAGAGTCATACATTTTACCTCTCCCTATTGCGGTCAATGAGAGACCTTCTACAACCTGACAGATTTAAACAAGTTTAAACAATTTTATTTTATCTATTTCTGTTTCCTTTTAATTTTTTTATTTCTGTTTATTTAGTTTGAGCAATCTTTACACAGGGGTGAATGGTCTATATCAAAGATGTCAAATATGCAACCTGTAATATTCCCAAGTACTGTAGAACCACATTAAAATGTAATTAAGAAACATTTAAAATGAATAAAAATACAATCAAACACAGGTAATGTTAATATGTGGTTTTCTAAGTTAATATGTGGCTATGGGGTTTAGTAGTGTAATGATCCCTAGTTTTTATTTGAGTTTGACACCTCCAGTCTATACTGTCAAAATAATGAGAGGCAAACATTCCTAGGGCTTTGAAAAATCATTAGGAAGATTAAAACTTTCACGCGTAATGCTTTGTAATAGGACATATTAGGTGTTATTACAATTTATCTTCAGGTACTCCTCATCACAAAGGAAAATGAACATAATTCTTGAGTACTGCTGAGTCATTTCGGCCATGTTCAACTGTTTGTGACCCCATTTGGGGTTTTCTTGGAAGAAACAGTGGAATGGTTTGCCATTTCTCCAGCTCATTTTACAGATGAGGAAATTGAGGCAAGTCTGAGGCTGGATTTGAACTCAGGAAGATGAGTCTTCCTAACTCCAGGCCTGCACTCTATCTACTAAACTCTCTAGCTGCCCTCTTTGTATGTATGGGATGGCCTAATTCAGACTGTGTATTTTGCCTTATTACTAAAACCTTTAAGGAAATCAAGGAATCAATGATACATCAGATAATAAGCTCAATTATACATAGCACTATCTTCATTTTCTTGCTCTAACAATTAATAACATTCTTGAAAAAGACTTCACATAATTGATTCTACCTTCAAATCCTAAAAGTAATTATACAGGAGGAATGGAAAGTGTCTAAAGACCAAGTTAATAAGGATTTACCTCTGAGTCTTTAAGCCTCACATAGTTAGAAGGGAAGACTCCAGATTTGTCAGCTACCGTTCCTGTCCACCAATCACCATCTTTCTTCGTAACCAAAATTACATCCCCTTGCTGAAAGGTTAAATCGCCTTGTTCAGAACTCTCATAAGTGTACATGGCAATATATTCTGGTGGGGAGAAATGATGACACAGAGTTTAACTTTTGAGAAATCCTATAAATATACAGACCTTAACAATTGGGCCTTTGATGCTAATAAGACTGCCTTCTGTAATCAATAAGACATATATTATACAATAAGGCAATACAGCATGCAAATGGTAAAATGTCACACTGGACATTAAACCTACACTAGAAATAACAAGAACACACTGCAAAAACGATCAATGTAACTTCAATTTTCAGCTTTCAACTCATTTCTTATTTAGGCAATTATATAACTTGGATGGTGGAAAAGAAAATTCTATCTTAAGTATCACTGGGGTTAAAGCAAAATTGCTGTTCATACCAACCAAAAGTATTTCTTGCTGGGATTACATGTGGGCATAATGGAATTTGTTAGTAAAGAATTCTTTCACTGTTTCATTGGATAGAAACCAAGAGTGAAAGGTGCTTATTAGGGACTTATATACCTGAAACCATGGAATCAAATAAAAAGAAGCCAGCAAAAATCTCAAAGCTCAACCTAGTAATTACTATGGTACTTTTTTTTCCCCTTTTAATTAATTAATTTATTTATTTTTAGTTTTCAACATTCACTTCCACAAGATTTTGTGTTCCAAATTTTCTCCCCATCTCTCTTCAACCCAAGATGGCATGCATTCTAAATACCCCTTCCCCTAATCTGCCCTCCCTTCTATCACTCCCCTCCTTCTCTTATCCCCTTCCCTTTTTATTTTCCTGTAGGGCAGGATAGATTTCTATTCCCCACTGCCTGTATATCTTATTTCCCAGTTGCATGTAAAAACAATTTTTAACATTTGTTTTTATAACTTTGGGTTCCAAATTCTCTCCCTTCCTCCTGCCCACCCACCCTCATTGAGAAGGCAAGCAACTTGATACAGGTTATACATGTGTAGTTATGCAAAACACTTCTATAATAGCCATGTTGTGAAAAACTAACTATATTTCCTTTCATCCTATTCCACCCCCCCATTTATTCTATTCTCTCCTTTGATTCTGTCCTCCTCAAAAGTGTTTGTTTCTAATTACCTCCTCCTGCAATCTGCCCTCCCTTCTATCATCTCCCCCTTTCATATCCCCTTCCCCCCATTTTCCTATAGGAAAAATAAGATAGATTTCCATACCCAATTGAATGTGTATGTTATTCTCTCTTTAAGCCAAATCTGACAAGAATAAGATTCATTCATTCCCTTTCACTTCCCCTCTCTTCCCCTCCATAGTAAAAACTTTGTCTTCCCTCTTTTATGTGAGATAATTTACACCATTCTACCTCTCCCTTTCTCCTTCTCCCAGTACAATCTTCCCTCACCCCTTAATTTTATTTTTTAGATATCATCCTTTCATCTTCAACTCACCCTGTGCCCTCTGTCTATATGTGTGCGTGTGTGTGTATACACACACACACACACACACACACACACACACATATATATATATATATATACATACATATATATATTCCCTCCAACTACCTTAATACTGAGAAAGGTCTTATGAATTACAAATATCATCTTTCTATGTAGGAATGTAAACAATTTAACTTTTAATAAGAGGTTTTGGCCACATCAAGGTGTCTCCTTTGAATCTATGAGGCATGACCAGAAGATTCAATAGAGAATAGGTAAGCTAGAATGCATCTATGATTTCACTGACATAAGGCACACTCCTAAATGATGCAATTCCCTCTACCAATGCAAGATACAGCCTTCTCTACAACCTATATTCTTTTTTTTGGGGGGGGGGTAATAGCTTTCTAACTTAATGTTTTATTTTCCCTCAAATTACATGTAAAAACAATTTTTAACATTCACTTTTTAATATTTTTGAGTTCCAAATTTTCTCCCTCCCCCTTCAATGAGAAGGCAAGCAATTTGATATAGGTTATACATATGCAGTCATGCAAAATACATTTCCATGTTACAGTTATGAAAGAAAGCAGACAAAAAAAGCCACAAGAAAAATTTTAAAAGTAATATAATAGCATGCTTTCATCTATACTCAGACTCCATAAGTTCTTTCTCAGGAAATGGATAGCATTTTTCATCATAAGTTCTATTGTCTTGGATGATAATACTTTCTGTTTGTTTTTTTGTTTTGTTTTTGCTAGGCAATGGGGTTAAGTGACTTGCCCAGGGTCACACAGCTAGTAAGTGTTATGCATCTGAGGCCACATTTGAACTCAGGTCCTCCTGATTTCAAGGCCGGAGCTCTGTCCACTGCACCACCTAGCTGCCCCAGTGACAATACTTTCAAGAATAGCTAACTCATTCACAGTTGGTCATCATACAATATTGCAGTTACTGTATACAATAGTTCTCCTGGTACAACATATAATCTTAAAAGCTTTCTAGTGCATTAAAAGGTTATGGGACTTGCCCAGTGTCACAAAGTCAATAAATATATCAGAGGCAAGGCAGAAGAGATTGCTTCCTGAAAACACGCTGCTCTGAAAAACAGACTATTTCACACATTTGGGATCAGCAATGACTGTTGGTAAGGTAATTATTCAGCAAGAAGGTCCTCCAAGTGTCCTAGGAGAGACAGGAGACTCCCCTGCCACTTAGTACCCAACCCACCCCTGCACAATTATTTTAGAAATACACTTTCAAGCGTAGAGCAAATCTAAGTTGGAAACTTTCAGCGAGGTAAATCTCTTTTTTAACTCATAGGATTCCTTTTCTTTTGATCCCTCCAATTCTGACCTTTCATTTCATTATAATTCCCTCTTTTTTAAAAAAAATTAGCATGTCACCCTAATAATTATCCATTACAATGAGCCATGTTAATAAAGTTTGTTGGCAGTCATTCTTCCCTAAGGAAGGAGAATCTAAAATTTTGAAGCTACTTTCAAAAAAAGTTTCAGAAACTGCAGAAACTTGAACTTTGGTTGAACTTAAATCATGCTACACGAGAAACAAAGGAGAGTAGAAATATATTAGGGCCTTGTTGCTTTATCTGAAATATTCCAGGCATGTGCAGACCCACACTTAGCATTAAAATGCAAACAGCCTATTATGAATTTTAAGAAGTATCCTAATTAGTTTCCCAAATACCATGGAAAATTTTGTTTGAAAAAAAAAAAGCAAAATTCATTTTTGGTTAATGCCTAAGTGAATATCTTGAGAGATAATAAAACAGAAAACCTATATAATCCTGCTTATATTTTCATTACTTGAAACTGTAAAATTCCAAAGTGGCCTTTTCACTGTATTGTAAACACACACACACACACACACACACACACACACACACACACACACACACGTACGTATCTTCTGTCCAAACTCATCTCTACCTCTCTCCACCCCCCAGAAATTTCATCTTCTAATGACCTGCATTATTTGAAAACCTCAAAAATCACAGAATCTCAGTATTAGAAGGAATCTCAGAGGCTAGTCCAATACATATCTAACCTAAAATCCTTATTACCACATCTATCCAAAATTCTTAACAAGAGGTCTGTCAGTCTTTACCTGAAAAACTCTAGTCAACAGTCATGGTCTTAGACACCTTTGGAGGTGGCCCCTTCCTTCTGTGTAGTTTGTTAGAAAGTTGGTATTAATTAAAGCCTAAATTTGCTTCTGAAACTGGGGGTAGGCAGAATAAAGCTAATCCATCTTCTATGTGATTGCTCTCCAGAATTTTGAAGACAACTATAATTAAGAGTTTTTGTAATCGATACTCATGCCTCAATGTCCAGCTCTTTGACGATCTTGGTTGTTTCCCTCTGGGTGTCCTTCCTAAAATGTGATGCCCATAATAGAATATGACACTCTTCAGATGTGGTCGGAACATGAATACACCTCCTCCTTCACTCTGGTCAAGAGTCTTTTAATGCACATAGGATAGAACCATTCTTTATCACACTGTTGATGCATATTGAACTTGCAGTCAGTCCACTGAAGCCATCAGATCTTTTATAGAAAAAAAATGCTCCACCATTCCTTTCTCAGTTTGTATTGGTGAAGTTTTTTTTTTTAACCCAGGGGTAGTAGTTTACATTAATCTCTATTAAATTTCAACTTATTTGATAGAGAAGCCCATTGTTTCAGTTGGGCAAGATTTTTGGATCCTCACTGTCATCCAATGTGTTAGCTATCCCTCCCAGCTTTGGATCACCTAGAGATTTGAGAAGGATACTCTTGGTGCCTTCACCCAAGTCACTGATACCTATGCTAAAAAACAACAACAAAAAAACACAGGACCAAAGAAGATCCCTGGGGCATCCCACTCATGAACTCTCTCCAAGTTGCCACTGAGCTCTTAATGACTATTCTTTGGGTCTGGTCCTTCAACCAGTTCCAAATCAACCTCAGGCACTATTGTCTAGCCCAGGGCTTCTTAAATTCTTTTTTCCCCACTTGTTGCATTTCAGCAGCATTCATCGGTGCCGTGTGCAGTGCAAAGTGTGCTCAGAACCAAGGCTGCAATGAAGTTGCAAGACGCAATATGGGCAAGACGCTAACAGAAACACCTCGGAGACAAGTCCAATACCCCTTCCACAGATTCTTCAAACACTTGAAAAGAGAAGACATGTTCTTCCTAACTTTTCTCTTCTCCAGGCTAAACATCCTTAGTTCTTTGTATGTCATTATCCCTAGTCCTCTCACCATTATTTGCTTTCTGATGAATAAACTTCACTTGTCTTCTATGCCTTGATCTATGTCACTGGATGATTCGTGGATCTAATATAAACTTCTCTGTTTGACAATTAAACTCCCTTCTTACATTCCAAGGTCCAGCCATACTGGCCTACTTGACCTTCTGTATCCATGACACCCAATTTCCATGTCTGGACCTTTGTACTGACTGTCTTCCAGGCAGGAATATTTCTCGTTCCTCACTTCTGTCTCTTGGAATCCTTACTTTTCTTTAAGACTCAGCTCTTCAAAACTTCAAGGGCCACTTTGAACACTTTCCTGTTGCTTCTAGCTGTGAGCACACTCCCTCCCAAATCTACATTATATTTATTTTGTATATATTCTG